GCTGAGCAGGGAGCCCAATGCGGGACTCGATCCCGGGACTCCAGGATCATGACCTGAGCAGAAGGCAGTCGCTTAACCAACTGAGCCACCCAGGCGCCCCTCCCTTTTTCTTTTTTTAAGATTTCTTTATTTGTCAGAGGGAGCACAAGCAGGAGGAGCGGCAGGCAGAGGGAGAAGCAGGCTCTCCGCTGAGCAGGGAGCCTGATGCGGGGCTCGTTCCCAGGACCCTGGGATCATGACCTGAGCCGAAGGCAGAGGCTTAACCGACTGAGCCACACAGGCGTCCCAGTGCTTTTGTATCCTTATAGTTTTTTTCCTAATCCAAGGTCATGATAATATTCTTCTAATATGATCTTTGAGGAGAGACAAACCTGAGGGCTGACCCTCAAATCATCAAGTGACCCTGCTTGAGCTGGGACATTAACCTTCTGCCCTGGTGCTGGGATTTACACCATTGGCTCCCCTGGTTCTCAGGCCTTTAGACTTTGGTTGCAATTACACCACTGACTTTCCTGGGTGTAAGGCCAGGAAATCTTCTTTTACTTCTTTTTTAAAAAATTATTATTATTTTAAGTAGCCTCCATATCCAGCATGGAGCCCAACCCAGGGCTTGAATTCAGGACCCCGAGATCAGGACCTGAGCTGAGATCAAGAGTTGGATGCTTAACTTCTGAGCCAGCCAGGTGCACCAGGAAATCTTGATCCATAGATTCAAGAAGTTCGACAAAACCCAAGTAGGATACATTTTTTAAAACCATACATCAGGACAGAACTTCAGATTGCAGATGGAAGATCTTGGGATTTCTTAGCCTCCATAACTGTGTGAGATTATACATATATATACAATCTCTCTCCACACACACACACACACACAAATATGTCTCCTATTGGTTCAAGTTTTCTCTGGAGAACCATAATACATCTAAACCTAAAAGTAATAACATTCTGTTAATGGATTAAATATTTCAGATAAATGATTGTCAGTCTAGATTAAAAACAACAACTGTATGTTACTTAGAAAAGCGTATCTTAAAAACATGCAAAAGGGGGCACCTGGGTGGCTCAGTCAGTTAAGCGTCTGACTATTGATCTCAGCTCAGGTCTTGATTTCAGAGTCATGAATTCAAGCCCCATGTTGGGCCCCATGTTGGGCTCAACACTGGGTATGGAGCCTACTTAAAGAAAAAAATTAAAAACATGCAAAAAGCAAGGCACCTGGGTGGCTCAGTTGGTTAAGTGTCTGTCTTTGGCTCAGGTCATGATCCCAGAGTCCTGGGATCGAGCCCCGCATCAGGCTCCTTGCTCAGTGGGGAGTCTGTTTCTCCCTCTGCCTGCCGCTACCCCCGCTTGTGCTTTTTCTCTTTCTCTGTCAAATAAATAAATAAAATTTTTTTAAAAAACATGCAAAAAGCTTGAAGGCAAAAGTTTGGCAAAAGACACACTTTGTAAACACTACCTTAGAGAAAGCTGGTAAAGCATTCAAGCAAAATAAAAACTACTAAAGATAAAAGGCTCACTTAATTAATTATGAAGGTGTAAAAACTGTATATTTGTATACATCTAATAACAAAGTCTTAAAATACATGAGGTAACATTTGACAGTTCTACAAACAAATCCACATTCTTGTGAAATTCTTTTTTTTTTTTTAAAGATTTTATTTATTTATTTGTCACAGAGAGAGAGAGAGAGAGACAGAGACAGAGACAGAGAGAGAGGGAGAGCAAAAGCAGGGGGAGCGGCAGGCAGAGGGAGAGGGAGAAGCAGGCTCCCCACTGAGCAGGGAGCCCAACATGGGGCTCAATCCCCGGATCCCAGGATCATGACCTGAGCCAAAGGCAGACACTTAACTGACAGCCACCCAGGCGTCCCTTGTTGAGAAATTATTTTTTTTAATTTTTTAAAAAAATTTTATTATATTATGTTATGTTAGTCACCATACATTACATCATTAGTTTTCGATGTAGTGTTCCATGATTCATTGTTTGCGTATAACACCCAGTGCTCCATGCAGTACGTGTCCTCCTTAATACCCATCACCAGGCTAACCCATCCCCCCACTCCCCTCCCCTCTAGAAACTTCAGTTTGTTTCTCAGAGTCCATAGTCCCTCATGGTTCATCTCCCCCTGCTGTGAAATTCTTAACACATCTCTCACAGTAATTAATATAACAAGACACAGAAAATAAGTAAGAAAAGAAAAGGTTTGAACTTTCTATTTTGTCAAGCATTTTTATTATTTTGGGGGGGCATGTATCTGATTTACCTCTTCTGTCATTACCAGAAGCTATACACTTTCCATTAGGGGAAGGACACGACATCTCAACGGCTGCCAATAGTAAATATCTGGGCCAAGCAAAGATATTTCAAGATGAGAAAGTTTTTAAAGCCTATTAGAAAGTGAGGGTAGGGAACAATGATATTGGACAGGAAGATGGTAAGCAGAGACTAAGGTCTCTCAAAAAGAAAACAGAGTGAATAGTAGAAATTGGGCCTTAGCATTAGGAGGAAGGTAGAAAATTCTCTTTGGGAATGCAAATAAACTTTGGTGGAAAACAAGACATTGTAACAACAACAACAACAACAAAATGCAATGGATTTGAAATCATCCTGGATCTTCCTTTTACTGACTCTATACTCTTGGACCAGTTATTGACATTTTGAACCTCAGGTTTCTTGTCCATAAAATAAAGATCATTCTATCTAACCCTATAAGGGTTAAATTTTCCTATTATAGGCTCTCAGAGCACTGTGTCTATTTTCCTTCAAGCAATTTATTACTGAGAGTCTACATTGTGTTAGGAGCCCACACAATGGTGAACAAAATAGAGCAGGTTTATCATTATCTTCCTAGGACCTGGCAAGCCTAGCAGATAGTACATATTCAACAGATATTTCTTAAACGATGAGCTTATATAAAAACAAAAACAAAGCCCATAATGAGTGCAAAAGTATTCAGTAAATGGCATGAGGCTTTCTACAATAAAATACAGGTTATTATTACTTTTTAAGTAGTGTTCTTGATGCAGGAAAAAATATCATACTAAAGAAACATCCATTTAAAGGTGAATTACTGGGGTGCCTCAGCGGCTCAGTCGGTTAAGTGTCTGCCTTTGGCTCAGGTCATGATCTCCCGGTTATGGGATTGAGCCC